GCGTCCACTCAAATTCCCAGCCCCTCGCCTCTTACCCCGGCACATTCCTGACTCTCCTCCCTGTTTCTACTCACCATATGTTCAAAGACATCAGTTTAACATTGGCCTACATCTAATAAAAGTTAGACAATAATCCTTCTTTCAAAAGCAAAACCAATCTACAATCAGCCTCGCATATCGTACAAAGAACCAGAGGGTGGGACAGCTCACTCCAGGGGTTTCTTTTGGTTGGGATGGAAGCCCAAATGTCTTGCAGCCATGATGATGGGCAGAGACGCTGAGCCTACATACTCTTCAGAGCTCGGTTCCTTCAACACCATAAAATGGGGTTATTTTTAAAGTATCTGGAAGACATGTAAGGAGCTATATGGAATATAAATACTACAGTACGTAGAACCCATAGTACAGGGCATGATAAAAAGAGAAAACAACTGACTAGGCTATTCTGGGGAAAGAAGCTGCCCTGGGATGGAGGTGCTAGATGCGGAGGATGGGGGGACTCTTAAGTACTCCAGACTCACAGGAAAAAGGTGGGCATGACACAGCACTGCTGGCACTCTGATCACACTATGCTGTAGGATCAAGACCAGGAGACTGCCTGCCCGGCCCAGACCTTCTCACAGGCTGGCTGCCTGCGGGCACTCTCCTGTGGGCACTCAGACCTTGGCTTGACATTTATTCCAAATTATTGTGAGCAGGACATGGTCAAGGAGTGGAGTTGGTATTTGGAACCGCCGAAGGACATTTGGGCAATATAAACTCAGAGGAAGAAAATAAATAAAAACACTTCAAGCCTGAGTAAAAGATTGTAATCACATCACTCAAGTCAGAAGAAAGTCACGTGTATTTTGTTTTCTTTTGGGCCTTAAACATGGTGCTACAAATAGACTTCACCTGAGTCAGCCGGGTCTTTTCATTGCTAATTTTATGCCTTTTAAAGCTGAACCTGATACTTGGAACAAAATTTTGCAATGTACCTGTTTAGCAAGGTTTAAGCAAAGCCAAGGAGCCTAAAAAACATGCAAATCTCATATACTGCTGATGAAGGCGTGAGCTGGTACAACTGTTCCAAGCTGTGGGGTGGTTAGCAGCACGTGTCTCCCAGGTTTTCTGGATATGCATAACCTTTAGCCAAATACTTCTTAGTCTAGGGATCTAGCCTAAGGAAATAATCAGGAATGTAAGTAAAGATTCAGATACAAAGATGCCTAATACAGTATTTTTTTTTAATATTTTTATTGGGGAATTGGGGGGATGGGAACAGTGCTGGGGAATTGGGGGAAGGGGAACAGACAAGTTGCTGTCGTTTTGTTCTT